TCAACTTGTGAAATTTCATGTACAACACACAACTTCACTTTTCCATAATATTTGGACACTTTGACCATCTTCATACCTTTTTTTATCACCTTTTAGACCTTTTCCACCTATTTTATACTATATACTAAACCATATTATATCTCAATTCATATACTCCATCTAAACATTCAAAAAAATTCTACAAATCTTCTTCATGGTTTCATATACAAGTCTTACCTCTAACTTATTTAGTCATTCGTAACTTTTCAAACTTGCTATCATGGTGAACTTGACTCATGTTTACCTCCTGAGTTAATCTGGTCTTTGTTAGCTGTTATTGATAAGCTAGTGGAAAGAGCTTGTTACAATACAATTGAAATAGACTAATAAAATTTGACTTGATTCTTTCATCACATGCTTAACTCGCGTAATAATTTTTGGCGTCGTGGTAGGGGTCTTTCCTCCATGTGTGTGGGACACTATTATGATCTCTTTTGCTTTTGGAATGTTGTTAACTTTCAATGAACTAGTTTTTCATGAATCTCGCTGCTGAGAGCTAATTAAAGCTTTAAAATAGATACTTTTGGCATGTTATAAGCTATTTTTTTTCCTGTTAAGGAATTGTATCGTTAAGTAATTACAACATTATAGATCGATGATTTAATAAAAATTCATATAAAAGTAACAATTCCTTGTATAAGCAATGGTTACTTGTAAACATAATATTGGAACTGAAATGAGTTGCAAGAATAAAGTCCCCTCACACTTACAGGCAAATGCTGGCTAAAACTAAACTTTACAAACAATGCTTCCATCCATACCAAGTAAATCAACGCCTCTTAACTGGATTAATTAAAAAGATCTTTGATAATTTTAATGAACGAGAGAGGCATTTGTTTTGTTTTTTGGTGCATTGGATTCGGCAAGAGTATAGCCCAAATGTTATAAGAAACTTTTAATAATATTTCTAATCCATGCAGAACATTAATTTTAATATGTTCTTTTCACGCTAAGGATGAGACAATTTGTAGAATTAGACATTTCTGAGTAGCGTAATATTCAAATTCATCGTTTATTCTTAAAAGTTAGCCGAAGAAAAATAAGATTCTGTTTTAATAATTATATAAAAAAAATAAGTTTAATTTACTCTTAAAAATTAATCAAAAGAACAATTTTTTTAAATGTTATAAAATATATTATGATGATATATCATGAGACATTTCAATAATTGTCGGATTTGCAATTAAATAAAATGCATCCAATTTTATGCCATTTTGAAAACGACAGGTGCCGGAAAAAGGCACCATAGTTTAGATCTATCTGGCCGAACCAGCCGGTTTGTTTATCCCCTGATGCCTAAAATGCCGGATTAGGTTAAAAATTCTATATCCATCACTCTACTCCGAATCACGATTAAGAAAAATAAAATATAACTATTTATTAAAAATATTATTTTATTATTATTCTAATAACTTTTATAGACTTTCATCAATTTTATTAAAACTTGTATTGTTTTATATTAATTTTAAGTGGGTCAATCTATTAATTGACTCTTCAGCCTGCCCTTAAGGAGGTGGAGTTCAAATACTTTCATCAATTTTGTTAATTATTTGTGATTTATAAACTTCCTTTGATTACTCACGACTTATAAATCTTTATTAATTATCCGCAGTTTTAAAATTCTAATTAATTACCAATATATGGTTTAGAAATCCTCACTAATTGCTTGCAATTTAAAAACTCCAATTAATTGCTTGTAGTTTGGGACTCCGGCTAATTACCGAAAAGCTCAATGCATGCATTTTAAAAAATATGTGATCTAATTTTCATTAGCCTGAATTTAATGTATATAGTTTAAACCTGATTAAGTCCTTTTTTTTCTTTTACAATTTATAATTGCAAAATTGTGTTTAACTTTTAGTTCACATGTGTATTAAATATTATTTACTTAAAATATTATATTTTTAATTAATAAATAAAAAATTAAAAAATATAATATTAAGACACTTATATCAAACCAACAGTCATATATCAAAATCCTTAATTTAATATAAAACCTATAATAATATTCCAATTAAAATAAAACATGTTATATCGTAAGTTCATAGAACTCTTTTTACCTTTAAGTAAACTACTTTATAGCTTTAAAATTTGTAAGAGAATAATTAGTTATATTAGTTAATTGTTTATTTTTTTTCATTAGACAGATAAAGTGTAATAAATAAGACCAAGTTAAAAATATAAAAATTAATAAAATTTATATATAATACTATAAAATCATTCAAATGAAAAGTATCACCGATAAGATTTAAAACATAACTAAATTTGAAAGTATCTGATCTTAAAAGTTTTGAATAACAGAAATTCATCATTATATGAATTTTTTATTTTATTTATATATTTTTTTATTTTATTCATTTACCTGTGACTTTAATATAATAACTTGATTTTGTAAATTTCTATAAGATGGAAGAAATTTTACTATATAAACAAGAAAGATATTCAAAGACTTGAGATAAAAAAATAAAAATTAAACTCAAACCTTAGACACAACTACAGTCATAATATTTTTAATTTACAAAAACATGGACAAATGAATTTTTAATAAATATTTCTGGTAATAAAAATATACTTATTCATATTTTTAATTTTTTCTACAAAAAATACTAATAAAATATTTAAGCTCTCAATTATAAAAACGATTAACTTATATTAGAAAGCAGGCATGTTAAACCATATTGCTATATTAAAGTGTCAAATAAAAGCCATATTAAATATATCCTTATAGAATTTGAACTACATCACGGAAAACATATTAAATTATGTTACTATATCAAAATTTTAAAAGCACGCAATATTCCTAATGTAAAAAATAAGAAATACTAATAAATAAAGATAAGAATAAATTATATCAGACTAAGCTTTATATAAGTAAGTTTAATTTATTTAATAAATTTAAAGCCTAAATCTAACTTATTATTTATTTTTTATTAAGGTTAAATATGAATTTTTTTAAGAGTTTGACTTGACTTATTACTTTTTTTTAATAATTTATTTTATATCAAAACTTTTAACAGGCCATCAAATCTCTTTATTATTTACAAGTGAAAAATGATTCTAGAAGTGAGGGGTATGCAAAATTAATTGAGAAAAAAAAAAGTTAATGAAAAGTGAGAGATGTTTGTGGAGAAGAACCTAACAAGAGATTGAATTAGGATAAGATAATGTAGAAAGAAAATCTTTTATTAAATTAGCATAATTTTTTTAAGTTATTGTTAATTAACCGTGATTATTAATAAACTGAGTAATGTTAAAAAATTGATTTGAACTATTGTTATATAAATTGCTGAAAAACACTGTAGAAAAAATTTAGTACTTTGTATTCTTAAAACACTAATTAAAGAAGTAATAAAATATTTTTTTATATAAAATAAGGTTATTTATGTAAGAAATTATAGCAGAATGTGTTATTAATAATTTTTATAAAAAAATATTTTAAATTTCATAAACTATATGTTAAACATACTTGTTAGTATTTTAAAAAAAGTGTATTAATTGAATTTTATATATAAATCTTAATAATAAACTAGCAACAAGCATGGTCGGGTATGACAACAGAAACAGCTACATATTTCTTTATGATTCTTTGTCGCTAACTAATGGCTCGACTCGTGATCTTTCAAATAATGCATGTCTCTACGATCTGTAGTTGTCGCTTATTTTCGCTTCTATTTAGAATGCTCTAATTGAACAGACGGTGACGATATATTAATTTCCTAATGACACGGATGCGTTTGTAACTAACAAGAATGACAGAAAATGTCATATATGGTGTGGGGAGTGATTTTTACTAGGCCTTCATGCATGGAACATATGAGGTCCTACGGAGAAAATAAAGTGTAATGACAGCTTACACAGTTAATCTCCAAATAATGAATAACATATATAGTTTATGTACCAGATAAGAGTTTTATATTCGATAGTATATATATAAAAAAAAGAAAAAAGTAAAGAGTCTAAATTATTTAATATTTTACATCCTTTTCTTATCAATATGGAAATTAGATACTTGAACAGCCATTTGGTAAATTTATAATTTCAAGTGAAAGGGAGTTCAGATTTCTTCATTATGTAATATTGCGTTTGATCTCAACATTTACTTACGTGCATGAAAAGTGTTATTGAAAGCATCCCTATTTCAGTACCACACGGTATCTTAAGAAATTGGTCCCATGTTGATGTTACTATCCCTATATACTTTAAATGCGAGACGTGTGAAAACACATACTAAATTTAGTGTGTGATACCATGCTGCATTTTATTAAATCTAGTGTGCGGTGTCACATTAAATTTTAAATTACTTTTGATTTTTTTTTACGTACTAACTTTTATATACTTTCCTGTTTTTCTCTATTTTTATTTTATTACTGTCTTTCTTTCTCTTAAAAATGCGTTCACCCTCTTGAGATGTGAAAATATATATTTCTTAAAAATGCCAGTTAATATATGCTTATAATAATATGGATACGCTTTTATTTTATCTACCATAAACGGCTGTGCGTGATTCATCGGTACATTGAAAGAGTTGATTAATGAAGTTGTGTCAATCATCAAAACTTAACATTATTTTTGTTCACCAAGTATTTTCCAATCAACAGTATAAATGTAATATCTTTCTAACCGTAAAGATCATTAAAATAAACTAACTTTTCTAATGATTTTTTATATACACATACGGTTAAAAAGTAATCTTATTTTATATATTTTTAAATGGTCAAACTCCTTCCAATAAGCTATCTCGATCCTTTCACCCTTACAATTTTTCACAGTAACCGTCCTTCATCGATCACATCTGAAAAGGCTATATAAGCTAGCTGTCTGCTTGTTAATATTATTATAATTTTGACATAATTATATATGTCAACATCAATCCTGCCTTACGAAGACGTGAAAAGGCTATATAAGCTAGCTGTCTGTTTGTTAAAAGTCAAATAAACTCATTGTTAGGCCTGAAATAACTAATGGAGCCTCACTTTGTGGTTCCGCTTCCATTGATGTTCCTTGTTATTCTTTGTCTTTTACTTGCTTCCCATACCAACGCTGAAAGCTCCACATATATTGTTCATATGGACAAGTCCTTTATGCCTCAGGTCTATTCAAGCCATCATGATTGGTACGATTCCACCATTCATTCCATAAACTTAGCAACAGCTGATCATCCTTCTAAGCAACCATCACAGAAATTAGTGTACACCTATGATGATGCTATGCATGGATTCAGTGCAGTGCTTTCATCGGATGAGTTAGAGACCCTAAAGAAAACCAATGGTTTTGTCACAGCTTATCCTGATAGGTCTGCCACCATAGACACCACCCACACCTTTGAGTTTCTCTCACTCAATACCCCCAATGGCCTATGGAATGCTTCCAATTTTGGGGAGGGTGTGATTGTTGGTCTTATTGACTCCGGAATCTGGCCTGAAAGTGAGAGTTTCAAAGATGATGGCATGACCAAGAAAATCCCATCCAAATGGAAAGGAACGTGCGAGCCAGGACAAGACTTCAACACTTCCATGTGTAACTTCAAACTGATTGGAGCTAGATACTTCAACAAGGGTGTGAAAGCAGCAAAACCCAACACCACAATCAGCATGAACTCAGCAAGAGACACTCAAGGCCATGGGAGCCACACATCTTCCACAGTTGCTGGCAACTATGTCAATGGTGCCTCTTTCTTTGGCTATGCCAAAGGGGTAGCAAGGGGTATTGCCCCACGAGCTAGGCTTGCCATGTACAAGGTCCTTTGGGACGAGGGACGCCAAGCCTCTGATGTTCTTGCTGGAATGGACCAAGCCATTGCCGATGGGGTGGATGTCATTTCCATCTCTTTGGGTTTTGATAGTGTTCCACTCTATGAGGACCCAGTAGCAATAGCTGCTTTTGCAGCAATGGAAAAAGGGGTGTTGGTTTCATCTTCAGCAGGCAATGAAGGTCCTGCTTTTGGTGCCTTGCACAATGGAATTCCTTGGGTCTTAACAGTGGCAGCAGGCACCATAGACCGTACATTTGGCAGTTTAACATTAGGAAATGGCAAAACAATTGTGGGTTGGACCTTGTTTGCGGCAAATGCTATAGTGGAAGGTCTTCCACTTTTCTACAACAAGACCCTATCAGCATGCAACTCAGTGAAGCTGTTAACCGAGGTGGCCACAAATGGGATTATTATATGTGATGCCCCACACTCAGACTCAATCTCTGTCTTTGACCAAATCAATGCTATCACTGGGGCAAGTGTGGTTGGGGCTGTGTTTATCTCTGAGGATCCAAAACTAATTGAAACAGGACGTTTGCTCTCTCCAAGTATTGTAATCAGCCCAAGCGATGCACCATCCGTGATCAACTATGCAAAAAGTGCCAAAACTCCCACTGCCAGCATCAAATTTCAACAAACATTTGTTGGAATCAAGCCAGCACCAGCTGTGGCTTATTACACCTCAAGAGGTCCTTCACCAAGCTACCCAGGGGTCTTAAAGCCTGATGTAATGGCACCTGGCTCTAATGTTCTAGCTGCTTTTGTCCCAAGTAGATCATCAGGTAGAATTGGCACAAATGTGTTTTTATCCAATGATTACAATTTCTTGTCTGGAACATCCATGTCATGTCCTCATGCATCTGGTGTTGCTGCTCTGTTAAAAGCAGCACACCCAGATTGGAGTGCAGCTGCTATAAGGTCTGCAATGGTCACCACTGCCAATCCCCTTGATAATACCCAAAATCCAATTAGAGATAATGGGAATAGTTTTCAATTTGCTTCTCCTCTTGCAATGGGAGCTGGTGAGATTGATCCTAACAAAGCACTTGATCCAGGTTTAATATATGATGCCACTCCTCAGGACTATGTTAACCTCCTTTGCGCTTTGGGCTACACACATAACCAAATATTAACTATTACGAGATCAAAGTCCTATAACTGTGCTAACCCATCATCTGATCTTAACTACCCTTCGTTTATAGTTTTGTACAGTAACAAAACAAGATCTGCGGTTCAAAAGTTTAGGAGGACCGTGACTAACGTTGGAGATGGTGCGAGTACATATAGAGTCAAGGTGACGCAACCCAAGGGCACTGTGGTCACAGTTTCACCTGGGACGCTAGCATTTGGTTATAAGAATGAGAAGCTAAGCTACTCTATTGTTGTAAAGTACACGAAGTACAAGAAAGAAAACATCTCCTTTGGGGACATTGTTTGGATTGAAGATGGTGGTGCACGAACGGTTAGAAGCCCCATTGTAGTGGCACCGAGTGAAATTGCATGAGTTGAAGTTTATTTGTTGTTTCTTTTTGTGGTGACCAGCACATCCTTTTCACTTCCTAGGACCACCAAAACGACAAATAAATTTAGTAGTGTGGAATTTCATATCGGTCCAATACTATACTTGTGTCTTGCTAATGCCAGCTAGTCCCAAAGCATAGCAATATATTATATTGTTGTTGTATAATGTGATCGATAAGGATTTGGAGCAAGTTTTAGAATAATTAATAAGGATAAAAGCTTGGGTATCTGGGAATTAATTTGGTTGATTTTATGCACCAACCATGTGTTTTCCCATGAGTTTTTCCTTCACATAAAAGCAATGAAGTAGCCAGCATCTCTGGTCAGCATTGTGTGTATACACAGGCGAATTTTGATTAAATATTTCCCAACAATTTTCTTTCTTTAAGAAATACTTCTTTTTAATTACTCAAACTGTACCATAACATTGTAAGGAAAAAAAATTGTTTGAACCTCCCTCTAGGGTGTCGACACTTCTCTAAGGAGATGAAAATAATGAGAGAAGAAAAATAACTAAGATAATACGATAAATAATATGATGAAAAAATAAAGTATCGAAATTAATATCATAACATGTGCGCCACAACATATAGTCATATGACAACTTTTTACAACAAAAGATATTATTTTTTAATATGTATGATTTTTATTTATTGGCTACGGCCAAAGGTATCTTTTATGATAATTTTATTTAAATTATGAATATATATAAAAAGGCTAACCTTTATAATAAGATTTTTTTTATTACACAGACTGAAATTTTAAGTCCTACTTAAAGAAAAAATAGATATTTAATACCTCAATTAATTACCTTTGAGGTCTTTTACGTTTTGAAAATGAAAACATAAATTATGTACAAATATCAATTTCTAGCTATTGGTTTATATGCAAGTGAATGTCTAGCTTTTTAGATATACAGTGCACACTAACGTTGACCCGGATGTACAAGAGTACAGTAAACAGTAATATTGTAGAACAATCATAAAGTGGGATTCTTTGTTTCTTTCTTTTTTCTACTGCCCATGTTCGTCCTATTCTATGTGCAGTTAAGACAATTAGAATGCATTTAACTTTTTTTTACATCCCGTACATTTTTCTCACAAATTTATGTAGTAAGGATGTAATTAAGATACTAAGATTCACAAAGACTCGAGGGATTACAGCATATTTTTAATTGAGGAAAAAAAATCCTTATTATATAGTTATATATTATGAAGTTATTAAGGCGTGTAATTATCATATACAGTAGCTTACCAAAAAAATCCAACTCTTAAAATTGTATATGTTTGGTACAATGGTGAGAAAAAGAAAAACTTAAGGGGATCGAATCAAAGCACGTGAACGTCATCGAAGATATTACATGAAGACCAATTGGGGGGATTCTCCAAGCAAGATGCAGAACTGAGGTGAGATTGAGTGGTCGCAGCTCGTCAGGCAATTCAATCAGCAACTATTTTAATTATTAACACATGCTGCACATTATCTAATGATAGAATAATAAGTTTTGGATTGATGATCATATAAATATAAGACCTTTGTCGGTGTTGCTTGATTATTTATTCTTTGGCCAAATTTGCTGCTAGTGTAAATCATTTATAACATGTTGAAAGAGCTATCTAGTGTAATATCTAATGTGATTAATATAATGTTTAATAGCATTACTAATGTTTCCATAGTGAATTTTTTAAAAAATTATTCATTATTTTTTTCCAGCATTTTTACAATATTTCTTAGAAAGATCTTATTCGAGAGTATATTGAAGTTTTCAACTTATACCATTTGGTCTAATTTTTTGTCGTGCCTTAACTAGTTAACTAATCGTGTAATGTATCATTCAAATATCATCAAAATATTGGATGAATACAAGTGATGAATGATTTTATATGAAATAATTTTAAGTGCTTAAGCTTTGATCTAGTCAATTTAAATAAAATTTTAATAAATAAACAAGAAATAAAGCAAAATAAATTAACACGCCATAAACTAAATTAAACGTCTTACACAAGTTAAAATTAATTTAAACATTTCATCTTTTTTAAAGATCTATCTAATTTTTCTCTAAGTATGTATGAATTTAATAGAACTTGACATGCTTTAAAAAGGTTAGAGTAGAGTCTTACAATTAAAAAACTTCGATAGGGTAAAAGTGATATAATTCGGCTGGACCTATAACTCATATGACGCACTTCTTAAATCATAATTTATTGTGACATGATTTTTTAATTCTCTCCAACTGGACTCATCTTATTCGAATTTTGTTTTTTTGTGTATACATAGCTTTTTAACTAGTTCAAGTTGTGACTCAGCTTAATTTTACAAGCATTGTTTCCTAAGTTTTTTTAAATATCAGATTTATGGTCTATATTCAACTAAAATATTTGTTTTCATCCACTTGGACATTCACATTGTCTTGTTTTTAAGAAATGCTAACATGCTAGGACACTTGTCACTTATGCTAGTGATCTACTTTTTTTAATTCTAATATTTTCAAACCTTTTTTTCCTGCTGACAAACCGGAACCCTTTGGATTTTGGATTAGTTAATTTGTAGATGGGATGCAAATAATTTTTGGTTGTTTCAGCGTTTATAGAATGAAGAAGTAATAACATATTTTGGGCTTACTAATTTCGGTTTTCTATGTGACATATATATGTTTAGTTTCACCTACACGAGAAGGTTGTTCTCAAATTTGGTTTGATTCTTAATAAAATATTTTTTGTTTTAAAGAAAAACCTGAACCCGTTAAAATCTCTCTACACTCAGTGTCATCCCTTTAACTTGGCTTTGATTCGTCGAGCATAAGTTGAAGCTCATGAACATGTCTTAATCAAGAGAGAGTACTCACCAAATATATTCTCCAAAATCTGAAGTTCTTGTCAACTTTTTCTCCCATAGAAGCATCCGACATGTTTATGAGAGTTGTGACCCATACGACCAGCAATTCCTCACTTCCCATTTTCTCTTTCCACGCAATAAAAACTAAAATTGAATATACCACAGCAAACTAAAAAGTCTAAACCCACTCGCAGTTATGGTATTCGATAAATATAACAATCAAGCAAATCAAACCACATATCAAGTCTACAAGTTTTAATATAAGATACCAATGAAAATCTCCAAAAATACATCAGAGTACCATGTCCAAAGTTTGATGACCAAGTACCAACAGAGAAATCAATTAAAGCATATTGAAATCCAACCGGGTTCTTAGATTATTAGTTATTCACGACTCATATATATATATAGTATATAGTATATGGCAGCTTTGCTGCGAACACGAAGCATTCCATTCGATCAACGCTGCTCCTGCTGGTTACCTGCGTACATTAATATATATAACACAGATAGATCGAGTAAGGCCTTGCACCACACAGACATATAAGAATTAGCATTAGAATAAAAACTTACCTTGTTGCTGCTGCTGCTGTTGTTGTCTACGCCTCTCAGCTTGAAACATTCTCAAATGGGGATCCACAGGCATACCCAATTGTTCATACAGTGGATCATAAATTGAGCTTCTCATAGTCCTATAAGGTAGAAAACATACCAGCCTTATTATAACTAGGAGTTGTTTAATGTGTAAAACCTTGTAGAGAATAAATCCTAATAAATGCACCACTTAATTAATTTGTATTAATTATTTTATATAATTTTTTAAAAAATTTATTTTTTACTCTTCTCTCATTGATTAAGTGGTTTAGGAATAGAGGTTTATCCTGTGAAAGGTTGCACAGGTTAGAAAATTTGTTATAACTAACAAGAATATGAAAATGTGACCATGTATTATAATTAATTAAGATCATTAATTCTACCTCAGTGTGTAAGGGTTTAGACTGCCTGGAGCAGGTGGATTAAGGAAGCTACCCAGCTGAAGCTCAGTTGATTGAGTGTTCCCTGGCAAGGCCAATTGCATCTATATTCAAAGAAATTAATGAAAGAAGTTATTACATTTTTGAAGCATGCAGGACCCATCAACATATATATATAGAAAGTGACTGTCACCAAAAACACCCAGATCATATCATTACGCAACACGTACATTGGCATTCCTTGATGATGAGTCTCCCATTTCATACGGATTGGAAAAAGGATGAACATTGCTCACGAGTGCCCGTCCCTGCAGTTAAGAATAAAAAGAGAAAGGGGATGAAGGAAAATAAAAACAGTAGAAGCACTTATTGATATTCAGTAATTCAACTGCATGTGAAGACAATAATGAAGCTGGTTTGGAGGTAAATATCATGCACATATCCGATCATTCAACAAATATTTTTTATAGTATATATGAATCCAGAGGGGTCATAATAATAGTCATAAGTAAGTAAAACACAAATATGTTTCTACGATAAATTAGTCTTTCTGCCTCTCAAATGAGTGTAGATATAAGGATACCTAAACAACCTTCCACAGTGGATAACACTATATCCATAATAAATATGTATATAACACTCTACGAACCATGATAACCAAACTAAACACCCTTCCACAGTGGATAACACGATATCCATAATAAATATGTATATAACACCCTACGAACCATGATAACCGAACAACCGACGAGAAAATTGAATACAAAACACCCACCTTAAGAAAGGAAATATTAACAATACATTTTTAAAATTATTATCTTGTAAATTAATTAAAAATATATATTAAAAAATATGTTACTGCCATTCTTCTATTGAGAGCATAAACCAGAATATTCAATATATATAATGAACTGAACATAAGAGAAAATAGGTGTGAAGATATAATTAGTAAAAAAAATCCACCCATAAAATTTTTGAAATAAAAATATATTTCGTTAAAAACTAAACTAAACTTGGTAACAACTCTCAATCAAATATATATACCTCTCCCAAAACACCAGCCCAAAGTGAAAATTAACATGGATACCAGGACATGAATAAACCGTACGTAGACACCAACACTGAAAGAAATCAATCTAGCTACCATAGCTACCGCTAAAATTATTTGCTACAA